CGCAGGCAGACAACGAGCGGCGACCTCGGGAGCGATAAATGGCGGCAAAGGGGAAAGCTGGGAGCCGGGGCTCTTGGTGTTATAAGACAAAGCAGGACAGAAAACAGCTCATTTTCAACCAAAATCATCTTCGTATTAAAAAAATAATAAAATAAAATAAAATAAATAAAACCACACCAAAAACCCAACAAAAACAAAACCCAGAAACCCTACAATTTAATCTAGAGATGACAAAAAACTTTTTATCTTGCTCTAAATTCTAAGTTTGGTAATTCAACCTTCCCTCCCCAACCAATCCCAAAAAGCAAGGCCATTATTTTTAAATGGAAAATTCTCATACAAAATTAAGAGAGGCAGCCTTACGTTGGAGGGAAGAGAACAGGCAAAGCAAATACCCTCAGTTTTCCACCATGAGCCGCTCTGGATTGACACCTCCCCATGTGTCACCCTATTATTTTAGCCAAACTATTGGCTGAATTTGACCCTGAGCATGAATTTCTCCAAAATTCCCTTCTCCACCAAATATTCTCCTTCTTGGAAACCAGCCCCAGCCCACCTAGCGGACGCAGTGAGGAGGAGCAGGAGGTCCCAGATGCCTACACGCAGGTCAGGGCAAGCTGTGCGACAGAAGCAAGAAATGAGGTTGCATCCCCCAGTCCCAGCATCCACACAGTACCATTACACATGGGTGGCATTACTGCTTGTGCTGAGGTTGCTGTTTCTCGCAGGGTTTTGGTGGCCTTTCCTACACTGCACCCCTCACCAACAAGCTGCTTCACCATGGAGCCCACAGGGCTGCAGCCTAGCCTGGCAGAGCTTTCCCAGTGCATGCAAGGGTACCACATTTTCACCCTCACACGTGTTCCCATGGCTCTGCCACTCATTTCTCCTCCAGAAGGCAGCTGGCCTGCAAAGCCCCAAAACTCCCACTGAGTACAAGAAAACCTCCTGCCTAAGAAAATAAATGTGTTCTGTGCTCTCTCTGAGATACCCACAGCAAAGCGAATATGGGCACAGTTGGGTCCCACCACTGCTTGTTCCTTAAAAATGTGTCATTTCAGTCAAAGCCTTCCTGGCACATCTGTCCATCATTAGATAAAGGAGAGTCACAGTTACTGTCTTCATTCTGCACGTAGCACAACAGGCGCTGTCGGGCTAGCAAGCCATGGTCTTTGCCTCTCTATTGTATTTGTTATCCAAGACATCCATAGCCCAAATGGAAATCACACTGCGTTCATGATTGGGAACGCTGCCCCCCGGGAAGGTGCGGTGCTCAGGGTACTGAGGCGCCCGTGCCAGGTGCCATTTGACAGCACCAAATACAGCAGAAGGAAAAAGAGAGGCAGGCAGGAGGATGGCAGCTGCCTGCCCTTCCAGCTAGATGTCCAGCCTCAGTGTGGGTGGTGGAGATGACCTACGTAGTGACAGTGACCCAGACAAGCCTCTCCATTTGCAGACATAAGAGGCACAGATTGAGCTGTGCCTCTTTGGGTTTTGGTATCTTGCGGGTAAGGAACCTCTCAGTGCAGACTGGGTGTCCACAGACACTCAGTGAAGACTGTTTACCTAAAGTGAGTTCTAAAGGCTGAACCCAAAATACATTTGTAAATATCTGGCTTGTGTTTTGGTCTCTCTCATTAGGGTGGCTTTGTTATCTGCAAGGAATGCAGCATCTTCCAAAGCCTGTCTCCTCCTTCGTCCCTGCATGGATGGGTAGGTGGCGTATGGCAGGCTCTGTCCACCGTGACTCTGCATCTCCTCAACATACATGAGAGGTCCGCATGTTCAGGTACCCCTACGTGCAGGGTTCATGTCCCACCTTCTATTAAGGCAAATAGGAGGAAGGAGGTGTGACAGGCACAGACCTTGTGCAGAAGCTGGAAGGTAATGTTAGCAGTGGCATTAGCCATTCTCCTCTTTTTAGTGATCCAAAGTCTCAGATCAAGGCAATGAGAAAAGGGACAGGCCAGAGGAAAAGCTAGGACAATCACCTGCTTTGAAGCCATCTCAGGAGCTGCCATCAAGGCAGTGGCATCAGCAATGCTAAGGACCTGAAAAAAGAGCCTGGCAAGGCAGCCACAGGATCTGCCTTGGGAAATAGCAAACACTGCCTCAGCACAAGGCCAGACATCACCTAGGTGACCTCTGCACCCCCTCGTTGCATCCCACCAGGTAAAGCTTTCTAGTCATCCTCAAGCAGACTGTCTGAGCTATCAGAGAAGAAGTCCTCCAGATCCTGCTGCCTCATCTTGGACTCCAGAACAGTGATGCGCTGCTTGAGCTTCATTTGGGCATCATTGTACTCTGTCAGGAGCTGGCCAAAGCGGGTGTGCAGTGTGTCCAGGTTCAAGGCCAGCCTGTCCAGTTTCTCCTCCATGCTCTTCCCTTCTGTGCTTGCCTCTGCAGCTGACTCATCCAGCAGCCCTTCCTTGATCAGGATCTCCCGGCCACGCTCCTCCAAGACCCTTTTGGCATCAGGATACTCTGTGACTGCTTCCATAAGATCTTCCTTTGAAAGGCAGAAGAGATCAGAGTAGCCCAAGCTACGGATGTTGGCTGTGCGCCTATTGCCCATTTTGCTGCCTTTAATGTTGAGGATACTGATCTCACCAAAGCAGCCTCCTGCAGTAAGCAAAGCATACTGTGTTGTTCCATCATCCGCCACCACTGCCAGCTTCCCCTCCTTGATGATGTACATCTCTTTTCCAATGTCTCCTTTCCGGCAAATGTAATCCCCTGGGCTAAACACCTGAAGGCGAAGCTTCAGCACCAGCTCCACCAGTAGACCTGCCTCACAGTTCTGAAAAATCCTCACCTTCTTCAGTGTCTCCAGGTGAACGTTGATGGCAATCTCTGCCCTTAACTTATCAGGGAGATTCTTGAGGACTTCCCGTTCATCTACTGCCTTCTTGTTGGTCCACAGGTAGTCAAACCACTTGATGACTTTGGTTTCCATGTCTTTGCTCACCTTGCGGAACTGCATGTAGTGTTTGATGGCATCAATTTTTGCCTGGAACTCTGCCCTGGTAGCATTCATGTTGGATATCATGGATCCCACATTCCCCACAATGGTGGCAAAGATGAGGACACCAATGAGGAAATCAAAGATCACAAAGAGGTACTCTTCATCACGCACAGGGGGAGGGGTCTCTCCGATGGTAGTCAAAGTCAGTGTAGACCAGTAGAGACAGTAGACGTACTCCCGGGTCAGATACCCATATTCAGGGTCTGTGACGTTGGGATAGACCCATGTGTCCTCTCCAAAGCCTATGGCCTTGGAGATGGCATAATAAATGCACGCATTCCAGTGGATGATGACCAGGATGTAAAGAACCAAGTTCCAGATGCGGAAGATGTTGGGGTGGCTGGTTCTGGTCTCGGTCCTATCAAAGAACTCAAACATGCGGGAGAAGCGCAGCAGCCTGTTGAAGCGCAGTTCGGGGCGGTGCAATCCCACAGTGAAGTATGCCAGGTCTGTGGGCAGGATGGAAAAAACATCCAGCTTGAACTGTAAGGTGCGGATGTAGTTATCCCGTAACTTCTTCAGGTCCTTAACCAGGAGGCCCTGTTCCAAGAAACCTAACAGAGAAGCAAATGAAAGAATGAATTATCTTGGCTTATGTTCAACTCTTCCTCAGGCTTTGTAAGCACTTCTGAGAAACATTTCATGGTATGCCATGCACATGTGTGCGTATACACACAGTTTCATCCAAATATTACCAGTTCCACCTGATCTACTTAGTTTACAAGCTTTTTTTATCACTCAAGCCCTTAATCTGGCAAAAGCTACCTAAAGATATCACTTAAGGATTTAGTCTGTTGCCATGAAGAAATGGGGACCCAAAGGTTTCCATTGTCCAGATCATGAATTATTGCAGTTCCAACAGAAAACGTACAGCCACCTGCTGTGTTCCGAGAGCACTAAATTTTACCATTTTCCTGTGCAGATAATTCATTAGCTGAACTGATGCAAAATCAGAGATACAGACCTTCAACTATGCCCGAATACTAATAGTAATGCAGGTAATTTTGTACAATTATTCAAAGGTGAAGTTGAAAGCTGGGATGATTAATCTTTCATTCTGAAACTTACTACATTTCTCAGATCTTTTAATTAGATTCTTTCTCTGGAGACCGCTTCGTACTAGCAAGTGCCAAGGTAGACAAGACCTTCCTTCTAATGGAACTGTAGATCAGGCCTCCCCCTTGCAGCTCATCTCCACTTTTAGCGGATTAAAGCAAAGCACTCACAAGTCAGGCTGCTGCTTCTTCTTACCTGTGCGCAGGCGGATCACTATGTCCCCAATGTAGATAGAGTCTGAGATGTAGTCTAAGACCAGCCAGAGGACAACATAGGTCTTTTGCAGGTCACTGAAGCAAGCCCTGGTGGAAGGTCATAAAACAGGGTGGTGAGACCAACAAATCTCTGTATCGTCTCCAACTATTACATCTGAATACAGGCTGCTTCTGAGGCTGCTAACTCTGCAACAGAGCTTGGCCACTTGCCCCTCTTCTCCTAGAAATTAAAACCCCGAAAAATCTGCCCTCCCTTTACCTAGGTAAAGCAACATCTTGAAACTACCTCCCAAATGCACCTTGCAGCTTTACCCCAAAATCATGGTCCTTTCCAACGGGGGCCAGAGGATGGATGCTCTGCCTTTGCACCACAGAAGTCACAGTGATATCAGGGGTATCCCTTTCCTTTAGGTTCCCACCAGCCCCAGCACCACCAGTGTCAGTTGTCTGACCCTGGCTGAGCCACAACAACCAAGTGAACAGGAGGATTAGAGGAGACAGCGACCCTACAACCTCAAAGCTCACCTGGCTACAAGCAAGCACCAGTTATAGAGGACAGGAACTGCAATGACAGCCAGCCAACGGTAATACCAGTCCCTTGCAGGGTCCACCACAAAGATCTGCCATTTCTTCCTGGAAGCAGAGAGAAGCCAGAGCTGGCAATGTACGAATAAAGGGCTAAACATAGAAAATAGGGTTGGAAGGAACCATCCAAGACGCATCCTTCATCCCTTGCACTAGACTGGCTCAAACATAGCTGCAGCTTGGGTGCCAGTCTGTAAGCTAAAGTGAATCTCAGCAGTGTTGAGCAAAAATGTCCAGCACTGTTTAAGCTCCTTTATCCCCAAAACTGGGGTCAGTAATGTTCCAGAAGAGGAAACTGTTGGACGGTAAGGCAAAGTACGTGGCCTACATGCACACAGTACCCCAGTGGCAGAGCCAGGAACAGATGTATGGAAGAGGGTGATCAGAAAACTTCTCATTACATGAAATTGCCTCTCCTAGATGAGTTACGGATAGGTGCCAGACAGATCTTAAGAGAAGATTAATCAAAGCAGGAAGGAAAGTGTGCTGCAGATCAGGGAGCACGAGGAGGGGTGCCCAAGCCCCAGAGCAGCGACCCAGGGGGCAGCTGGTATTGCAAGGTTGCCATCGCCATGCTGCTCGCAGCTGCCTGCCTGCAGTCTGCTCAGTCCTGGGTCCAGCCTTTGAACTGCTCCCAAGCGTTTGATCCTGCTCATCTTGGGACTCTGAGATAAGATGTGTGTGTTCCAGTTGCCAGATCTCGCTGGAGAAACCGGGGAAGATAACTCTGCAGCTGGGCTGATAGACTTAGCTGCTGCAGCCTGGTAGGGCAAAACTCCCTCTCCCCCTCCCTCCTTCCCTCCCTTCCACTTTTTTTAACATGCAAAACTCCCTCCAGTGATAGGACAAAACCCAAACCACTTGCCAACAGATTCCTGGTGCCCACCCCACTGCTTCTGACAGTTTCAAAAGCAAAACCTCTGCCTGAAAGCCTCCTTCCCCAACAGCACAGGCAGCAGCACCCACGGTGCCCAGAGCATAGGGACCAGCACTTGGTGCAACGCCAGCAGCGGTCCTTCACATTTCCTCTGGGTACAGCCACAGACAAGGAGGTGCTCCAACCTCCCCATTAAAAATGTTCATCTTTTGCTCAGAAAGTGCAACTTAAATGTTTTTTGAGAAAAGGACTCTGCTCCCTGGGACATACAGCGCCAACATATGGGAAGCACTGAACCACATGCAGCCAGACAGTACTGTTGTAGCACCCACAAGCACTAATAACCTCAATAATGGTGTTAATTACATTGGTTATTTCAGATTTAAATCACCGGTGCTGCCCACAGCAGGTGGCCAGAATCACTGACACTATGATGACAGCAGGGCCAGGGCTGGAAAACCAGGGCTCTGGGTTAACCCAGGAAAGAGGGAATAATCATCTGCCTCTTCCCAGAGGCTTTGCACCCAAGCCTGCAACCGTGGAGGCTCCCATGGCTGTGAAGCTCACGTTCGTAGTTATCAGACTTAGGGCTCTTCTTACCTGGGCTGCTGAGGACCTAGAAAACAGCAGAAGTTACCACTGTCTCCCCAGAAACCCACTGGCACCGAGCAGCCCTTTCATGGCACGCTTCAGCTTCCTCTGATAATTAACAAGCTCCCCTTAACCTTGCAGGGCAGAAGGTTTTTTTGCCATGACTAGTAAAGACCCAGATACAAGGCTCAGATATTTTTCTCCTACAGAAAACAATTATTTCTTGGTGGTTTAATTACCATGTATAATGGTAGGGTCCAGAGTAGTCCGTGAGCTTTGCCCTTTAATTACCAGCAGAAGAAAAGCCAGGTTACTGCTTTTCACCAGGAGTGTGAGCTGAGGAGATGAAAGGGCTGGATTTGAAAGAGCCTTTTCAGAAAGCCGCTGTTATAGTGTCTGCTCTTGGGGGGGGCCTGGGCAGCAAACGCACTCCCTTCATCTCCCTTCATCCTGCAGATGATGAATGAGACTGGAAAATCCCATGCATTTGTGCTTGCTTTTGTTTCGTCGGTAGAGATGCTGCATCCCTTGGCTTGTCCCCAGCTCCTCATACTCACAAGCTGAGGGTACATCTCTTTAAAGACCCAGCGCTGGCTCAACACCAACCCTAGTGTTGAACTGCTCTGAAAACGGGGAGGTCTCTGCCAGCTGTCACAAACCATGCAATGTATGTTTCCTGACAGGCCGTGGACCAGGGGAGACAAGACCCCACGGGTGAGGGACAGGCCAGGTCTCTTCCACAGGAACAGACTACCATGTCCTGTGTGCCTGCACCTGGCAAAGCCAGGCTGGCTGCCAGGACAGGAGCTGGGGAGGGCAGGGAAGACCCCTCCCACCACTGCGTCCTACCTCCCCTTTCCAATCACCATCCACCTCCATTAGCCATCACTGCTAGAAGCCCCTGAGCCCTGTGCACAGCTCATCTCCAGCCAAGGACAGCCAGGCCACAGGAAAGGGACCCTACTTTTTGTTTTCCTCCTCGGTCTCCTCATCCTCTAGATCGTTGCTAGCGCCTGCTGCTGCTGTCCGGAGCTCAGGGCCCTGGAAGCGCTCGAGGAAAGGGTCTGGTCTTTGCTGCTCCTCATGCAAGCTCTTGCTGGCCCAGTCCCTCAGCACCAGCACCAGCCGGACTATCCTGGATGGAGGAGAGAGGCAGTGTCAGGAGGTGTCCGCAGAGCAAGGAGAAAGCAAAATCTTGAGAGCAAGCAGGGGGGGCTACAGCTGAGAAGAAAACTCTCACAGCTCCCTCTCAAGCCCAAATATTTCTTTCTCCCCACCTTGTAGTGACAGTGGAACCAAGAATACACGAGCAAGAGAGCCCACCCTCGCAGAGACCCACAGCTCCTTCCCCAATCCTGCTGCCATTCCCACAGGGACATGAGGAATGCGTGTGTGACTGGGGCAGAGAGGTGCTGCCTGCAAGGGAAAGGAGCACTCCAACCCTCCTGGGGCCCCAGAGGTGATGGAGCCATCCCCTCCTGCAGCCCTCTCCATGGGCACCGGGGCACACAGATTCACAGATGCTGGTCCATGCAACCCTTGAATGCCACACAGCAGGAGGGGATTCGGACCCCATGCAAGTCCCCAGTACCAAAGCCAGGTACAAAAGTCTCAGGGTCACCCCGAGCTGGCAGCACACACAGGTACCTGGCGAAGGCTTGCCTGCCTTGGAAAGCAGAGGCAGCTGGTTGTTCCCCCCCATCCAAGGGAGCTCCTCTGCACAGCTCTGAGGAGGTGTCATCCTGGGTTGAGCAGGTCCTGCAGTGGGGAAAAGGGCGGGGGGGGGGGGGTCACTGTGCCAGCGTGGCACCTGCCCACAGCCAGACGAACTGGAGGAAGCAAGTAGCTGAGGTTTGGCATTGCAGCCCTGCCCACACCAGGTCTTGGCAGACACAAAGCTGGCCCTGCCCTCCCCCACCACTACCCACCCACACCCCCCCAAAAAAAAATGAAACCAGGGACCAGCCTGACCTCCTGGTGCCAAGTCCTGTCCCCTCCGCGTCACCCTCCACTCGGGCTTGAGCGGGAGGGGCAAGGGTGGCAGTTGACCGATGAGCTGTGCAGATCATTACTCTTGGCTGTCATTCTCCATGTGAGGAGACCACAGGCACACACCCTGCTCCAGAGACCTGCAAAGAGCAGAAAACAGCCACAAGAGCCGCCGTGCAGGAAATATCACATGGTTTGAACACAGAGACACAGCGCAGCATGGGAAAAGAGGTTCACACCCCACGGGATGTGCCCACCCCATATTTTCAACCACCAGCTATTGCTGATGCTGCAGTAAGAGTCCTACAGAGCATTTCACCCTCCCCAAGAGATCCCACATCTGCCCACAGCCCAGGAAAGATGCTTTCCTTGTTGTTCAGGCTGCTCAGCCATTGCCAGGGCAACAGCATCCCCAGCGAGCAGTGCCATAACAACAAGTCTGTGGCTCCCAGCACCACTGCCTGCCCAAGGACAAGAAAATAGACTCATAAGGGATGTAAGCGCAAGGCCAGCCCTGGCAGAGAGACGCTATCGTGCAGCAGCACGGGGTAGACTTTGTGTGTGTAAGGCTGTTTGCACCCAAGCAACCGCCCTCCTTCCCCAGGGCACTGCAACCTGCTGGTGGTCTGACCAGTGAGCTCCACCTCTCGTCACCACAGAAATCCCCCCTGTATTGGAAATTCAGGTTTGCTATTTAAAAGGAGTCTTGATGAAGTTCCTGCTGGCAGGAGCTACCATCTGGTTTCAGAGAGCAGCAGAGAAGACCCTACATTAATAGGTGGAGGCTGCTGTGGAGCTGTTAAGTGTGGGATTTCACTGGGGTTTGTTTATTTACAAAGTGAGAGATGCCCATAGGGCTTGCCCAGCACCAGCATCATCTGCAGCCCTCACTGTTCTGCTTAGTATAGACCACACCACATAAAAGCACCTCAGAGAAACATGGACTTGCACATGCACAAAAGACACACAGGCATTGCCCAGCTCTATCTAGACCACATATTCCCACCCTGGCCACCCTGCCCGCTCCTCCTGGGGCACAGTACACCTTCCATACCCGCAATGCACAGATGAGGCAGGATCCTGGAGACAACACACTTGTGCTCTCACATGGTGCAGCGCACAGCCGAGGCTCTGCTTGGGGGAAGGCAATGCTCTGTACACTTCTGCTGACACGCACGAAGACTACACCCATGCTGCACACAGAGGGACACTCATGCACGCCCAGGTGAGCCACCTCCCCAGGGCCGCGGAGCTGCTGCCGAGAAGCCACCACTGTCCACTTACGAGCCTGATGTCCCCCGAAGCCTTCAACACTTGGCTGCTGCCTAATGTGGGCTAGCAGGGGCGGCTGGGGAGCATCCCTTCCCTGGGAGCCTCCCAGGCTGTCTCCAGAGCACTCAGGCTTTCAAAACACGTGTTGAGCTGCAAAGCCAAGCCAGCACAAGCAGAGCTGCCTGCACTCCTGCCCTTCTCCCCTCCCCAAGCAGAGAAGCTGGCAAGGCAGCCAGGCAGCACCCTGGCAATGGCAGAGGGGCCTCCGCTGTACGCAGCGAGGATGCACACTCGCGTGTGCGTGTCTCATCACTATAGCACACCCATCCCCTGAGCATCCTCGACGCCCTGAGCAGCAAGAACGCACTTCAGAGGGATTAATAGCAGCCAGCTTTGTGTCTGGGAGATGAAAGGCGAGCAGGGAAATGTGCTGCTCAGGGATGCTCCATTTCCCTACCCACACATCCCCTTCTTCCCCTGTCACCTCCTCGGTAGAGACATCTCTCAAGGCAGACCCCGGCTGGAGATCACAGCAGTCCCGAGCAGCTCTGGGCTGAGCCAGCATGAGGGGCTGCACAAGAATTGCCTTCTGAGCCCCCTGCTTCTGCTCCCCTCCCGGCCCTCTGCTCTAGGGAAAAACAAAGCTGGTGACCATTTTCCTGCTTCACAAGCTGTGCCACAGCTACTGCTATGATGGAAACTTTGTGAGTAACCTCATTTTAACAACCTCCAATCCAGTTACCTCTTCTCACACTCAGGGAGCAGAAGACCAAATGTGCTGCTCTGGAGTCCCAGCAAAGAGTGCTGCAGAGTTTGAAGATGATCATGAAATGCATCTCTCACCAATTTCTGTCCTCGTATTTTGTTCACAAAGACATTCTAATAACCAGTTAGCAAAACATTTGTAACCCCAAGGCAAGAAGGAAGTAGTTAGTTTTTACCCCCTTCCTCCAGCATCTATCCACTTGCAGTGGTGGGCGCTGGGTCAGTCCCTGCCCGTGGGCATGGAGTCCTGCACCATGTGCAGGGCTGATCTGAAAGCACCAGCGCTGGGAGTCCCTTTGCTATCAAAGGTCTACCTTTTTTTTTTTTTTTTTTTCCCCAAAGCCTTAAATTCCATTTGTTCTGTTCTTACTAAAGACCTGCACAGCAGGGAGCTCCAAGAAAGAAACAGAATTTCTGCAGCCTTGGCCGGGGCTGCTGGCGGCATTGGGTGCTTCCCGGGGGAGCACCCAGCAGCAAGGGACATGTCACCCTGCTCTTGTCTCCACACTACAGACCCTGGCACTGGGGACAGCTCACAGACCAGGAGGGCCGGCAGCGGCACGTGTCCCCTGTCCACCTCTCCTTTTGCTCCCTGCCTGCAGCTGCCTTCAAAAGCAACACAGGAACCCCAGGAGCTACTCCCTTGCAGCTCCCTCAAGCATCATATTGCACAAGACACTTCATTTTCTGTGCACATCTTTGTGGCAGTGACCCTAGGAGACACCCAGCCCTGCCACATGTGCTGCCCTGGGACAAAGAAGAGCCAGGAGGAGGAGGCGGGGAAGAGAGAAGGGAAATAAATAAAAGCATTGCACCCCAACGGGGATGGCACTAACCAGAAACTCTCCTCTAGATTCCCCCCAGCCAGGGCAGCAGGCATGCATGTTTTACACCAGCAGGCCAAACAGCCCGTGGCTCTAGAGAGGTCAGAAATCCAGCGTCTGATTAAATAAGTATGCAGCACCAGGTCAGAGTCCTGGTCCCAAGGGAATAAACCTTACCTGTTCCCATCCACTGGGATACCAAGGTCAGACTCCACGGTTGGTAGAAGAAACATGGCCAGAACACACAGAGTTTATTAAAATATGCATTTTATGGGTCAGTGTTTCCAGATTTACATCAGGATTTATGCCTTAGGCAAAAGTCATAAAGTATCCCCTTACAACCTGCCAATAATTAGCCTTTGAGAACACGTATAGTTTGATCACCTTACCTCCAAACATCTTCAATCCACACTTTGAAGGTGGTGTGTCCCCAAAAGGGTCAGCCCTTCTCACCCTAAAATACAACTTAAAAAAAAAAAACCCAGAACACAAGCTTCCTCCAAAACACCTTTGCACTTCTCAGAGAAGAGAAACGACCCAAACAATTTACCTACTTTCCTGGCACAGTGGCAGCCCCCTTATACAGACCCGTTGTGTAAGGTCCCCTGGTAACCCTGACCACATCCCTGAGCCATAAGCCACAGGAACCACCCCTGCACCAGTGCTCCCATTCCTTACATACATCCTGCCACGGCACAGCACACCAAGCCCACCACACCATCCTGGCTGTCATCTGCAATATATCTCCGTGCTCTCCTCAGCTCCGCTATCAGGCACAGGTTCAGACCTGCAATTACTTGTCGGACAGTTATTTATTAGTCAGCGTCCAGCTGCCAGATTTACAGTCACAGATGCTTGATGCAGTTGCAGGCAGAAAACTCCCAGGCATCCATACCTGTAAATAAGCTATTGGGACATCTGGATGACCTGCAGATCCAGCTACGATGACTTATAGATGGAGCAGAGAGGTCCTGTTAAGCCATGCCAAAACCTGACCCCAGAGCCTGCAAGCACAGCTTCAGGAGATGTGCTGGATGAACCACCAAAAGTGTCTCAAAGTCATGTCAGATCCAAGTGTTGCTGAACTCCACGGAAGGAAAGAAATGGCAAAGCTGTTGAACTGGGCTTGTTTTTAGCTAAGGAGCATCTGGGCCAAGAATTCCCCTCACCTGTGGTCTCGCACCATCACTGAAGTTACTGCTCCCAGGTCTGCTGCCAAGCTATCCTGCCCTCTGGCATTGGCAACCTAACAAATATCTACTGCTACCCAAATGGCCAATTGTCCATGACCTGACTGGTGCTATCACTGCTGTATGAGGTCTTACAATCCAGAGAGTCACCACTGGGAGGCTTCCCACTTAAATCTCTCTGGGAAAGAGCCAAGCTCCTGGATAAGCCCAGACCTCAGCAATGCTCTTACAGCCACTTTGGATCCGAACATTTGCAAACCCGCTGCTGAACTGCCTCCAGCAGGACGGGAGCCAAGGAGACAGTGGCACAGCAGCAGCTCCTGGGATGGGAGCTCCTGGCTCCTCAAGCTCCATACCTCCTAGAGCAGGGGCTATGGCATGGGAAAACTGGTAGTACTACCTCCACCAAAGAACAGTTGCACAAGGAAGGAAAGAAAACCCACCAGCAGTTTAAAAACACTCAACCACTCTACACAAGCTTTTGGGGTGGAAGATGAGGAACAGACCACAGCAGTTGGCTGAGGACTTCTATGGGGTCAGAATTGAGTTATCCAAGCCAGGACATGGTCAGGGGACTGGATCCACCACAGTCTAAGACTGTAACAGGACCCCATGTCCACAAACACTCAACGCCTTCATTTTGCATCTCCTCTGGCAGACAGTCCAAGGGCCAGAGGGTCTCCCATTACTTTGTGCAGGACAGACACCCCCTGTATCAGCCACCAATTTCTTATGAGACCTGGGCTCTTCACAGCAGCTTCCCACACAAGCACTGACCCCATCAAACGTACAAGGTGGTTGCTAGTGTACACAGAGCATTTGCAGCCACAGCCCAGCCGTGTGACTACACCTTTTGGGCTACAGTCCTTGCACCCCACCTCTCCCTGACACCCATCTCCAGCTGCTGTGGCACAAAGTCCAGTTTCATCGTTTCCCTCACCCTAGGGAGGGTGAGCCAGAGCATGGGAGAGGGGTGGCCTAAAGCACACAGATCCTCAAGGGCCTACAGTGCAAAAAGCAGGGCAAGTTAAGAAGAAACACATAGTTTTACTGTTTGCAAGTACGCGAGCAAGGATCCTGTCCCTGCCCTCACCCACCCCGACAGGGTTGGCAGGGGAGGTCAAGACACAGGAAATCATCTTCTCAGCCAGAGCCACGTGTTGATAAGGCAGGCGGAGATCAGCACCGAGTAGACCAGGACCTCCTTCTGCTGCCAGGCATTGCACTGCTCCTCCAGCACGCGGAGCCTCCCCGAGATCCTCGTCAACTGCAAGAGAAGCAATGGGGCTACTGTCAGCCCTGCAGCAAAGTGCAGGATACTGGCTACACCCCAGAGGCGCGGGACAGCAAAGAATGAAGAGATGGGAGCTGCCGTCTCCTTCAGGTCCTCCTTTTCTAGAGCAGCAGCTATCTTTGTGCGGGAGAATTACCAGCAGTACCTCAGCTCCCGAGCAGATGCTTCAGGAAAAAGTCCTTCTCATCAGAAGAGCATCTGAGCCCTTTACTGCCAGCAGATAGAGGGGTCTGGCTGTCTCTTGTAGCCCTACAGCCTCTCAAGGTAGGAGCTTGATGGGTCCACACACATGTAAGTTTTCCCCTGCTTCTGCACTAGCAGCATCAGCCAGGACAAGCTTGGCAATGCCAGCCCATCGGGACTAAGCAACGGGCCCCTGGAGCCTCCTCACCCACCCTCCTATGGCTTTCCCAGGAAATATTTGCAGCCCTTCACCCCCATCTCACCTGCTTTCTCATTGCTGCCATCTCAGCCACCCCAACCTCCTCCAAGGCACTCTCTGGGGCTGGGCCAGCCTCCTGGGAGCTGGAGAAGAAAAGCAGAGATGCAGACAGACAAATACTGCTTGAGAGGTGCAACTGCCTTCCTGTACACACGGCACTGCCACAGGGAGCCGAGCCATGCAGGTAGCGTGTGTGTGCCCAGGATGGGCTGCCTGCGTGCAGCATCAGAAGAGAGGAAACAGCACCTGCACAGCATCTACTCATTTCTTCTTAACCCACATCATGCATATTTATACCCCTCCACCATACACCCCATAGTGATCACAACAACACGTACAGCATATGCCATGACAGATAACAGGGAAAATGCATGCTTGTATTTCTTTAGAGGTCCAACAGAGAAAAAATGTATTTACCAAACATCCATTCTCTATAGTCAAAGGAATTCATTGAGGGTTGAATAAATCATCTTTAGAGCCAGTCACGTAAACACATATCACAGGGCCAATGCCGAAATGGAGGGATGTTCTCATTTACATCAGCAGGTGAGGATCCCGCTGGTGGGAAGCGGCCATCAGCCCGGGGGGAACTATCTGAGCACGTGCATCAGCCAGCAGAAAAGGGTCCTGTGGTTGCTGAGACAAGGATTTGTTCCTCTCCAGTATCTCCAGATACCACAAGCTCACTTTCCGCATCCCTCCCCCCAATAACAAAAAAAAAAAGTATCACTTTTTGCTCTCATAGCAAATTTTACCTGCAACTTGAAACAAGCAACCCAAGCATGCACCACTGTCTTCCATCCCTGGAAACAAAGGGGCCACCACTGGGATTAGCTGCTGCACTGGCGGAGGCAACACAAACCATGGATCTCCAGGGCATCCCCTGCAGACACAGCCTTGCTGCAGGGTCCACAGCACCAAGCCACAAAATAAAGCAGATCCACAATGAGAAAAATCAAAATCGCCACGTTCGGTCTGTTGTTCCCTACATCAGTTCACCTATAACCAAAACTCCCCTATGCACACCAATAACTTGCATGGTCACTGGCTCATACCGTACAGGTTGAGTGTATAACACCACTCCTTCAGAGACCTTGGGGAGGAGAGGGTATTTATTCCCGTTTGCAACATGATGTTGATCTTGCTGAAGACAAGCCAGAACAGCATGCAGAGATTCAGTGAATCTCTGTCTGAAAATTCATTTGTGAGATAATGCCTCCACATAATGTAGCTGTGGTATAAAATGAAAGTCATGACAGAAAGAAAATCTGCTCCAGCACAGAGCCATTAAAAAGGACACATCCTGCAGCTTTTGACTGAAAACTCCCAGTTGATACAGGTGAATGCCCTTTAGAGTAGAGACTATAAATTGCCTTCCAATGACTCATATCCTTCAAGAGGTCACTGTCAGGCAAATATTACAGTCTCTGTTCAAGACCAGACTTTACTAAAATTTCAGGACAAACAAGTCAGGTCGGTCATTTTCTTATTTTTTTTGTTGCATAGGGGTACAAAGTTGTGGTATCAACGAGATGCCATATGCATCTAATGTGATGCAAAGTACCGAGAAGAGGCATTTCAAGGTGGCTGGCTTCAACGGGAGATCAAGACCAGGGGAGAGGCCCAGGACTCACCCCACTGCATTACAGCAGCTCCACAAACTACCCCCTCTCATGGTACCATGGCCTAAATTTCCTCTGCTACTGATGGGAGGAGGGAGAAGGTCTTACGTAGCCACTGACCAGATCTGTTAGCATGCCCAGACTTCGTTAAAAAAAAAAAAAAAAGCGACATTTGAAGACAGTCAGCTCACTGTGGTTAAAAGCAGGGACACCACTTTGCATCATCTGCAAGCAGAAGCCAGCTCTGCTGTCTGCACCTCAGCTCCAGCTGGGAAAGGAAGGCAGGGTGTGCCACCGGTGGCACAGATGATGAATGCTCACTCTCCTCCCTTTCTGCCTGGAGGCTTTGCTCAAGGAGAATTAGAAGTATTTAGACATTCCTCTGGGTGCTCAGCAGCCTTAGAGCAGTGGGGACACCTTAAGGCTGCAATGATGTCTTTGAACGGTTAAGTTTATGGCACTTGAACAGATAAGAGCGCAGTGGAGATAGTTGCTCCAGCACATCCAGAGAGACTGAGGTCATTGCATACCCGCTCCAGTGAGCACGCAGGCATACTGCACCCCATCCGGAGGCATCAGCTATGGGGTGAATAACTCGGTACAGCCAGTTCATGGAAAAGGTTACTTAATAGTTAACAAGACACAATCAAGGGTGCTGGGAGCCCGCAGGAGAGGGTGTCTTGGG